ACTACAACTTGTACATGCAAGATTCTTTAAAACAGTAAACTCAGGAGTGCTATACACCACTCTAGTTTGCAATATATCAGGGGGCATATTCCTTCGTATTATTTTCAATAATAATAAAATAAGAGATATTCACAGATATTCCCAAGATCTAGGGAACACAATTAAAGGCAATTTAAACAAGTTAATTAAATATATATTTAACATATGTATCATAATTCAAGCAATTTAACCCTTAAAGTGCGCATCACTTCATATGAAGTGTAAATCGTTTTACCAGTCAACTGCGCTTCACTTCATATGAAGTGTATGGGTACCGCGCACGATTTGAATGGCCCGCGGTGTAGCTGGGGGTCCCATATGCTGCCCAGGGGCTCTAGTAAACAGTGGCCATTTTGAAAAAAATTCCAGCTCACGATCCGATGGCATGGGAGGCCTCAGTTTAGCGAGAGTCACCATGGCGAGCGCACGGTCAAACGCCTCACGGGCACGCACCACTCAGTCCCTCACCCCAGAGCAAATAGCCCACGAATTATTCTCTGAAGGTGAAGAAAGTGTGTTTGACGATTCAGACAACGATGAGGATTATACATAGTTGTCGGGTGATAGTAGCAGCAGCAGTGAAAGTGAGAATGACCGCCATGCCATGGCGAGGCCTATACGCTCTCCCATGCCTCCTCGCCCATTTTCTACCCCAATTCTACCACGACCTCACAGTTCCTGTGGATATTTTCTGTTTGAGGGTGACGAGTCAGAGGGAGGTGACTCCTTTTCTGGGTTTAGTGACTCAGATCAAAGTTTTATTGAGCCTGTGGCTGGTACCAGTGGTGTAACTGGGCGAGAAATTGTCGCGTCAGCAGCATCTCGCCCGGCCAAGCGCCACCGCATGGCACCACATGAGGGACCAAGACCCTCGTGTTCATGTGCATCCACCTCACGTGCATCCACCTCACGTGCATCCACCTCACGTGCATCCACCTCACGTGCATCCACCTCAAGTGCATCCACCTCACGTGCACCCACCTCACGTGCACGTAGCCGCCGTGCTTCTCGCAGACGGTATTCAGCTCCTGGTCGCCGGTATGCATCGCTTCCTCGCCGTCTTTCCTCTGCATCTCGCAGGACGCCTGGTGTACTTGAGTGGAGTGATGGTGACGATTTTATTCCTAATATTCCTCACTTTGACGATAAAGATGTAGGGATTACAAACCTTTTCCCTAATCAAGGTGAGGACATGGCTGAGATGGAATATTTTACAGCATTCTATGATGAACCACTCATGGAATACATTGTACACCAAACGAACCTGCATGCTGCTTACCTGATTGAGAGGGAAATCACAGAATTTTCACGACTGCAGCGTTGGAAAAATACCACAGTGGCGGAAATGTATGTGTTTTTGGCACTCTGTTTGTTGATGAAGCACTGTCACAAACATGCAATAAATGACTATTGGAGCAAGGACAAGACAATACCAACACCTTTATTCGGGAAATATATGTCACGAGACAGGTTTCAGATACTCCTCAGGTGTCTACATTTTGGAAGTGTTCAGGACCGAACACCTGATGATAGACTGTGGCGAGTGAGGCACTACATGAACGATGTTATTGGAAAATTCAGAGATTTTTACGTACCAGCACAGAAGCTGGTGGTTGATGAATCTCTCATACTTTTCAAGGGACGTGTTCCATTCAAACAGTACATTCCCTCAAAACGAAACCGATTTGGCCTGAAATTTTTTGTTCTTTGTGATTGTGAGACAGGATACGTGTTACACATGATTCTGTACTCGGCTAGTGATGTAGACATTCCCGGTAACGACGATTATGGATTCTCGGGGAGTGTAGTGAAGACCATCATGGCTCCGTGGATGAACAAGGGACACATTTTATACACAGATAATTACTATTCAAGTCCCTTGCTAGCTCGGTTCTTGCTAGAAAATAGAACCGGATTGGTTGGTACAGTAAAGCCACAACGAAGGGAAATGCCTGTGTTTGACAACGACATTGCAGTTGGTGAGTGTCAGAGAAGGAAAAGTGATAACACTCTGTCAGTTCGGTGGAAAGACAAAAGAGAGGTGAACTTGTTGACAACAATTCATGATGGAACAATGGTGAACAGTGGGAAAGTGAGCCATAAAACAAACGCACCACTATATAAGCCAGACTGTGTTTTAGACTATAATATCAACATGCGGTTGATTGATAAATCAGACATGATGATTGGCACTGCAGAGTGTGTGCGGAAGACATGTAGGTGGATGAAAAAAGTGTTCTTCCATCTTGTGGACATGAGCATGCTGAACTGTTTCAACATGTGCCTTGTGAGAACTGGACGTAAGCCCACTTTCCGTGACTTTGTATTTGATGCTGCAATACAGTTATTAGGAAAGTTTGCAAAAGATGTCCCAGGTATTCAGCGGCCCATCATAAACCCACTGTTGCAGCATGCTGGTACTCCACGCCTCGCTCACACTGAAGGCTTCCTAGCACACAAACTTAAGTATTTGCCACCTGGTGTGAAGCGTGCAATAGCCCAACGTGATTGCTTGGTGTGTAAAACAACGACACGTAGAGACAAGAAACGGAAGCTTGTGCAAACATGGTGTGAAACGTGTGGTATCCCATTATGTGCTGTCGACTGCTTCAATGACTACCACAGTCTAGAAATCTTCTAAGTGTGCTTCAAAGTGTGTATAGCGTGTGCGAGTGTGTAAATATGTAAACATATAAGCAGATAGCGTGTGCGTGTGTGTAAATACATACAAATATAAGCAGAACATACAATATAATAGACTGTAATGACATATTATATTGCCGTAATTGAAAACATTTGTGTGCGCCTGTGTATACTCAAATATGCAACAATTATTGATACAAAATATGTTCAAACAGTATTTGAAACACAATTAGTGAAAAAAAAATTAGATAAAATGCGCTTAGACATTGTAAATAAATAGCGCGAAAATATATTTGTGGCAACTCTGGCTGTTTGAGGACCGCGCGCAACACCTCCCGGGCGTGTACTGCATGAGCGAACATGCAGATTGTGACGTCATCACCGAGCTTCTCGGCTCTATTGCAACAAAAGTAAGTACAATAGAATTTTTTTTTTTATTTTTCCCGTGATCAGTGAACAGAACTTAACAGATTAGCAAAAAAAAAAAAATTTTTTTTTTTTCAAAATGACATGCGCCTGTGCGGATGGCAGGATATTAGACCCCGAGCATGTTAAGGGTTAATGTAATGTTCACTATGTCCAGATTAATATGCAATGTGAGTCACCACACAAGCCATTGAGTACACTACGGCTGTCTGCCCCTGATAATCACACAACACTTTAAGTTTGGAAAGCACAAAGTAAGTCACCTTAACGTTCAACTCACCAAGGACTGAGCCTAAATCGTATAGAGAGGGGGGGTGGAAGGGGATGACAGGCAGAGTCTCCACTCAGCCTGACAGCCTGGACTGGCTGCTGTTCAATCGTTCAGCCTCTCTGTCTGCTCTTTCCTTTGCTGATGCTCTATCCTATGCTCTCGAATGTACAGTTCCATGGGTATTATGCGGGAACTCAGTTAAACTCCACCCACAAGTAAGATAGCCTAAGGCTCTCTACCTACCACCTTAATTTTTAAACAGCGGCTTATTTGATGGGCCCAACCCAGCCAGCCGTCTGTAATTATCGGCTTAGCAGAAGCAAGGTCAATTCACATGACCTGATCACTGGTCAACTTGTGGTCATTAACACTCTAGAGCAGGGGTCTCCAAACTTTTCAATGTAAGGGCCACATTATATATTTCCCATATTTATGCGGGCCGGAGGAATAAAAAATGAAATTGCTATTTTGTATAACTAAGATAAAGGCATTGTCAAAGTACAGAGAAAAGAATATTGTACAGTGTTTGTGCTCCCTGAAACGGAAGCAGCGAAGCCCCACTCGCCCTCCATCCCCACAATATACAGTTATACACAACTGATTGGTTGTAATGCACAACACATACCTACCAGTATTAGTATCTGTGCGTCACACTATCGAGAGAGAGGAAAACTGACTCGGGTTGAGCGTCAGCAGCCCCAGCTTTGAATAATTCTGCGATGCCATTCGTACGATAATTATTTTTTCAAGGCCACCACACAGGGATTTGTTTGGAGGGCCGGATGAAATTATGTGGCGGGCCGGATGTGGCCCGCGGGCCATAGTTTGGAGACCCCTGCTCTAGAGGTGAGAGTTTTTACTTACTATGGGTCGACAGTCTGGCACCTCTCAAAACTTGTCTGACTGACTCATGTTGTAAGTAAAATATTTAATAAAACACAACAAAACATCTTTATGGTGTTACACTGCCACCCTACCTCCCTCCGGTTGGCAGTTTTCGTGTTTTTTTATGCTTAACCACCAAACTGGAGTTGCTGGGTGGCCAGCGCAGGGGGTCTGGGGCTCCCCCTTCCTCCTCCTGGGGCGCCGCCTTCCTCCTCCTGGGGCTCCCCCTTCCTCTTCCTGGGTAGGGGAGGGAAGCAGAGGGCTGCACGGACAAGCGGCACGGCGGTGGGGTGTGACGTTTGCTTGCTTGCTTGCTTGTTCCCTTGGGATTTGCGGGAGTTCTGCCTCTGTTTGGTTTTCGGTTGCCGTTTTCTTACCATGTGGGGTCTGTTTTGTTATGCCTTCCTTTCGGGGTACCTAACCCCGGTCGATGGCAGATAAGGAAAACACCCAACCACATGGGGGGTTTTCAGGGGCCATTGCTCCCTGTGCCTTTCTGAGGGGGAGCCAGGTTCTGGCTTGTAGTCCCCGGTAGGCTGAACTGCAATGACTAATACCCTAGTCTAATGTATCGCATATTAGTCCAATAGCTCCAGGGAGCCTCCGGGGCTTACCCAGAAAATGGCGTTGCATTACATTCATCACTGATTTTTTTTACTACCATTCCCATTTAGTGATGTAGTTAAGAAACATGTATCTGTAAATTGTCATCCTTATCTATCTAATATCTCAACAGGCTGAATTATCAGAACAAAAGGAACGAGAGCACAAGCTGGAGCAAGAGATGGGTGCTGCCATTACAAGTCGGTCACGTTTGGAGGACGAGGTTGCTAACCTGCGTAAAAAATTATCCGACACACAGCGCTCTGTTCAGCGTTCACAAAGGGACAAGGAGAGTTACCTGGTAAGATGTAGGTGGAATGTAGTGCTAGACTTTTATGATAGTTGCCCTACCTGCAGGTGTAAACTTTTATGTCAGTTTCAGGAAGCCAAATGGACTTTTTCCTTCTCCCTTCCACCCATTTCTTTTCTCTTCTTTTTCCTAAGGATGAGGTAGTGAAGGTGCTATTGGAAGTTTTCTGTCTAGCCATTGACTCACTCACTTTTGGAGCAGAAGGTTGAGACTGCTGGAGCTCCTCCTAGCGAGATAAATTGAAAATCAGCCTTATTACCTTTTACTCAGGCAGAGGTTCTGATGTTCAGGTCTCTCACTCCAGTGTGACAGTGTGTTGGGTCTTTGGCTCCTCGGTGGGGCAGGTTGCCAGACAAGGAGGCTCTTTTGGTGGTGTTACGTCAACAAGAGAAGGCTTGGAATGACAGAGTTTTATGAATTGCACAGTTCCATCAGTTAATCTGTGCTGGACTGCATGATCTGCAGTGACACTCCATCACCTTGTTTTTCCCTTGTTTTCCCATTGTCAGGGACAGGCAGTCTGTTAGTTATTGTGATCCACTTATGCCAACTAGTGACTTTTCCCAGGATGCAGCCCACAACTGTTGCCTAACTTCCAGGCACCTATTTACTGCTTTGTAAACAGAGGCACAAAGTGAAAGGAAACATGCCCAAATATGTGTCCTGCTATGGGAATCAACTCTGACACCTTTTGGTTGTGAACCGGCTGCACTAACTACTACTGTACTGCAGGATCCTATGATCTTGTATTCTTATTGAATATTGCCCATACACCAATCCAAGCTGCATATGCTGAAGCTGTTCCTTTCACAATTTATTTTAATTTCAATATAATAAGATATTAATATACCAGTAAGTGCTAGATTTGCATTAAAAAGTTTTCATTTCAGACGAGTCAAGCACAGGTGAAAGTATTGACAAGTGAGAAAGAAGCTCTACAATGGGAAATGGAGGTTCTCAAGAAAAAAACTGAAACGGTATGTATTGGGTTGTCTTCTGCATGAAACTTTTATTTTATTAGCACTTAATCTTTCATTTTGCTTTAATAGCACAGACTAAAGTAATGTATCAAAAACATTTTTGAATATAAATTTGATTATCTTGAAGATCCAATGGCCCTGGATTTAAGAAATGTACTGTACCCTTGATTTTTAGACAAAAGTAGTTTTCTGGGGGGAGCCCCGTCGGCTCCCCGGAGCTATCCCAGGCTGATATGCTAATGTCAGACTTTGGCATCAGTCATGTGTATGGAGTTCTTAGGCCTACTGGGGACCACGGCCAGAACCGGGCCCCCTCAGAGAGGCAAGGGGAGCAAAGGCCTATAGAAGCCCCCATGTGGTTGGAAGCATTCTATGTCTGCCATTGACCGGAACAGGTATCCAGAAAGGTAAGCACCTCAAAACAAACCCCTATTCTGGTTAAAATTGCTACCAAAAACCGAACTAGTGGATAGAACTCCCCAACCGAAAACAAGCAAACTAGTGTGACATCACACACCGCCGCGCCGCTGTCTGCGCAGCTCCCCCCTCCCCGGGAGGGGGAAGGGGGAGCCCCAGACCCCCCGTGCCGGCTACCCACACCTCAGTTCTTGAGGCTGATGCTATTGGCGATGGTCGTGTGCTCTGGCTCCGGTGTTGCTACTGCACTGTGCTTTGCGTGTGGTGTTGGTTTTGTGGGTGCGAGAGCCAGGAGTTATCTTCAGTACTCGGGCTGCATGCGCCTAGGGCTGCCTTCCCTAGGTGCCCTGTAAGTACTGCCCTTGGGGCTAGGGGCCACCTTCCACAGGCTCCTCGGGGTCTGCCTCTGCTGGTCCGTTTTACCTTTCGGTTTTTCGGCCGCCTGTTGGGCTCTTGGGTGTTCTGTTCGCCCTTGTTACCTTCAGGTAACAGGCAGTTTGCACTGGTAGGGGCGAAGGGTGCTGCACAGCTTTGTATTCCCGACATAGCGGCCGGCTCTGTTCCTTGAGGTTCGCTGTCCTCTTGCGGGGTTTTGTTTTTCTTTTTGTTTTTGCCTGGTGGGGGGGTTCTGTCATTTTATTCAGTTTGTTTTTGCCCTTCCACTGTTCTCCTCGGTGGCGCCCCCTGCTAGGTCCCCGTGAGTGTACACGTCCCTGGGGTTCAGCTTTAGAAGTTTGCTTGGTAGTTTTGGGTGCCGGTTTGCAGCACCCTGCCTGGGACTACCTGAGCGCGAGTCCTCTTAAAGTAAACGCTCAGGACCCTGGGAATCCCCTAGGGGGCGCGTGGGTCCAATGGATGTGACCCCGGAGTCCCCACTCGCTGTGTGCGAGTTTGAGGGTTGCTCGGTCTCCTTGTCTCAGGGTGACCCTCATTGTTTTTGCCTCTGCCACGCTGCCTGTTGGGTCGGTGATACTTTCGACCCCGAGTCCTGTGAGTGTTGCTGCTTGCTTGTGACTCAATTTACCCAATCCTCTGATGATTCTATTTGGGTACAGGCAGCGCGTGCGTTGCAGTCTAGGTTTCGTCTGTTGCAACGCGCTCGGTTGGTTGCTCCCCCGGATGCCCCGGGGCTGCCCCGCTTTGCTTTTCGAGACCCGGACTTGGGGGTGGGGGTCGCATCGATCCTGGTTCAGTCTGCACCTCCTCGTCCTTTCCCCCCTCTGCGTACGAGTTGGATTTGGTGTCGGCCCCTCCCCGGGTTCGGTTCCGTGTTCCCCCGGGTATGTCGGTTCCGTCCTTCCGGAGGTTTTCGGCTTATCGCATCCAACCTGGTGTGGTGCGAGCGGCCTTTGCAGCTTACCTCCTGCGTGACCCGGATTATGCCTCGGAAATGGATCCGTCCACGTTCAGGCTTGGGACTTCGTTCCCTTTCTGGCTCCGTTACGAGGTTCCGGAGTCGTCCTGGCTAGCAGACTGCCCCTTGTTTGGTCTGGATTCCTGGCATTCCTTCTGTCATTCCCGCATGCTGGAGTGGCGGGAAGCTTCCAAGGTGCTTCAGGTTTTCCTGGGGGGCGAACTTGAGTACCTGAATGAGTGCTTGTTTGCCCCTGCCCTTCCCCGCGATGTGGGCGTTATTCAGCTCCATGTGCAGGTTCCCTCCCTTTCGGCGGCACTCGTTGCGGAGGACTTGCGCGCCCGGGGCCTTTTGGCTTCGGCCTTGCGGTCCTTTTCCCTCCTGGAGCTGTCTTCGGATTGGCTCGTGGAGGATGTGGGGACGCTTGGGTCCGTCCCGGGGTCCGGCACCTTGTCCTCGGCTGCGCGTTCGTCGGCTGCCTTGTTGAAGCTGTTCACGCCGATTTTGCGGGATGCGGTTTCCCTGTTTTATGCTTCCTGTCTCGCATGTCAGCACGCGGTGCTGGGTTCCTCCGTGGAATCTGCTTGGGCTCTGGCTCTTAGGCGTTCTTCACCTTTTTGTCCTCTTCTGTTTGAGGAGTCGGCCGTGGCGCAGTTTATTCAGGCTGCGTCGGCGGCTTGTCGTCCGATGTCGGACTTGTTGGTTTTCCGGGGGTCCCGGGGTGGGTCTTCCCGGAAAGGTCGTGCCAGGGCTCGGGGTTCCTCTCGTCGTGGTAGGCCACTGGTGTCAGGTTCGGGGTTGGCTCCTCCTGCGGACCCTCCCTCGTCTGGTCGGCCCGGTGTTCGCGCTGTGCGGGGTTCTGGGTCTCGTAAGGGTCGCCGGCCCTTTCGCGGTTTGCCCCCTTGACGGGGCGATGGGGGGGGCGGCTTGCACTGTTCGCCCGCGCCTGGTCCCACAATTTGTGGGCCTTTCGGGTCGTGTCTCACGGCCTGCGGTAGCGTTGGGTGGCCCCTTCCCCCTTTGGGGGGTCGGGGCTGGCAGGGCAGGTTTCTTCCCCTGCGCTCTGTCGAGTTGTCTTGGAGTGGGTACGCTTGGGTGTCGTTGAAACGTCGTCGTCAGACGGGAAACCCATCTGGGTTTCCCGTCTGTTTCCGGTTCCGAAACAGGACTGCGCGGACCTGCGGTTCATTCTAGACTTGTCCCGTCTGAACCCCTGGGTTCATTGCCCCTCCTTTTGGATGACTACGCTGTCTCAGGTTCGGCTCCTCTTGGAGCCGGGAGCTTGGATGGTGTCCCTGGACCTCCGGGACGCTTATTGGCATGTCCCAATTCATCCGCGGTTCAGGGACTGGCTCGGTTTTGTTGTGGGGCGTCTGAGTTACCGCTTTCGTTGTCTCCCGTTCGTGTTGAACCTGGCACCTCGCGTGTTCACGCGCCTTACACGGGTTGTGGTGGCTCGTTTGCGTCTCGTAGGTGTTCGGGTGTTGGCCTACCTCGACGACTGGCTGGTTTGGGCTCCCAGCCAGTCAGCTTGCTTGCTAGCCAGGGATTTGGTTCTTTCCCAGCTCGCCGAGTTCGGGTTCTTGGTGAACTGGAGGAAGTCCCATCTGGTTCCCTCTCAGGTTCGGACTTGGCTGGGTCTCGTTTGGGACTCTCGAACCGCCTCCTTGTCTCTCCCTCCGGAGTCTCTCCTGCGGCTGCGGTCCCGCCTTCATCTGTTTCTGGAGGGCCCTCGGGTCACCCGGCGGTTGCTCGAGGGGCTGTGCGGGAGCCTGAACTTCGCGATGGTGGTCTACCCGCCGGGTCGGGTTTGCCTTCGACGGCTGTTCTGGTTCCTTTGGGGTTCCCCCTTCCGCCTCTCTCGCGATCGCAGAGTTCGACCCCCAGGGGCCTTGCGTCGGTTGCTGCGTCACCGACTTCCTCTTTGGGTTTTTCGGGGTTCAGTGCCTTGGCGCCTACCCGAGCCCTCGCTCGATGTGTACACGGATGCGTCGTCTCTCGGCTGGGGTTTTGTGACCAGTGCTCACCAGGCCGGCCAGGGGCGTTGGGATCCGTCCTTCCATCGAGCTCACAGCACGGTGCGGTAGTTCGCGGCGGTGTGGTTTGCTCTGGGGAGGATTCGGGTGGCCCGCGGATCGACGATTCGGCTCCATTCGGACTGCTCTCCGGTGGTTCATTGCCTGAACCGCGGGGGTTCGATGCGGTCCTTGTCTCTTTGGGGTTGGTCGCTTCGGGTGACTCGTCTGCTGAGTTCTCGGGGTTTGGCTCTCCTGGCGGTTCACGTATGGGGCATGTCCAACGTCTTGGCCGACGCCCTGTCTCGCTTCGTTCCCCTCTCCACGGAGTGGACGGTCGACGACGAGTCCTTCCGTTGGCTTTGCCAGACGTTCGGGCGCCCCGAAGTGGACCTCTTCGCGTCGGCGTGGTCGCGGCGTCTTCCCGTTTATGCGGCGCCCTTCCCTGATCGCGAGGCCGTCGAGGTCGATACCTTTCGGCTAGACTGGTCGAGGTGGGGGTTCGTGTACCTCTTTACCCCGGTTCGGCTGTTGCTCCAGGTCCTGACTTGCTTAGAGACTTTCCAGGGGAGAGTTGTCCTTCTGGCTCCCTGGTGGCCGGCCCAGCCTTGGTTTCAGGCGCTGGTTGCTCGGTGTCCAAACCCGAGGGTTTTCCCGCGGCTCCGCCTCTTTCAGCAGATCGGGCCGGTACGTCACGTGGCTGGTTCGATCTTCTCCTCGAGTCTTTGCGTATGGTTTTTTGACTCGAGTCTATCATCATCTCTATGGTGATCAGGTGGCCTCCTTGTTGGTGTCCCACCTGAGGGCTTCTTCTCGGCGGCAGTATGAAGTTTCCTGGCGGTCCTTCCGTTTCTTTTTGCGTCTTCGTCGTGTTAGTTCCTTGTCTTTCCGGGTGGTCTTGTCCTTCCTCTCGTGGTTGTTTCAGGACCGTCATCTTATGCCTAACACTGTCGCTTCATATCGTGCGGCGCTGGCGGAGCCACTTCAGCTTGCTTTCGGTATCGATGTTACGTCTGCGCCGTTTCGCAAGCTGTCTCATGCATTGTTTCACCTCCGGCCTGCTCATGCGTCGCCTGAGCCGTCCTGGTCTTTGGACAGAGTGCTCGCTTTCCTTTCGTCTCCTCGTTTCGTTGTTGCCCCTTCGGTCCAGGATTGTTTTTCCAAGGCACTTTTCTTGTTGGCTTTGGCCTCTGGGGGTCGGGTAGGGGAGCTTCATGCTCTCCTCCGGCGCAGGGGTTTCTGCTCTTTTGATCGTGGTGATTGTTTTGTTCGTTTGCAGCCGTCTCCTTCTTTTCTGGCGAAGAATGAGACTGCTGCGTTCCGAAGGGGTCCATGGGTGGTTGATGCTTGGTTGGTCAGGCCGGGGGTGCATCATGTTTTGTGTCCGGTTGCGGCGCTTTGCCGTTATTTGCGCGCCACAGCTTGTGTGTCCAGGGACGCGCTGTGGGTTGATTCGGTTTCCCTTCTTCCCTGTTCGCGGGTTCGGGTCTCTCAGGTCGTCCGCAGGGTTATTAAGTCCAGCCAGCCTGCGATCTATCCCCGTGCCCATGACGTTCGTAAGTTCGCGGCTCTTGCTGCCGTCTTTGGGAATATGTCTTGGTCTGATATTCGAGCGTGGGGATTTTGGCGGTCGAACAGGGTCCTGGCTGCTCGTTACCTTGTGAATGTCCCTGGGCCTCGTCGGGCCTGTGTTGCTTTGGGTCGGCGGTTGCAGCCAGTTGTCTCGGCTTCGAGTTGAGGAGTGAGCGACGACCGCCTCCCGGGTAAGTCCCTCTTTTTTCTGTCTGTGGGTAGTTAGCTCCGGGGAGCCGACGGGGCTCCCCCCAGAAAACCAGCGTTGAATGTAATGAAACGCCATTTTCTGGGTGAGTCCCGGAGGCTCCCCGGCATCCCTCCCTCCCTCCGGTCGGCGGTTTTTCGCGTTTTTGACATCCAGCCTCAAGAACTGAGGTGTGGGTAGCCGGCGTGGGGGGTCTGGGGCTCCCCCTTCCCCCTCCCGGGGAGGGGGGAGCTGCGCAGACAGCGGCGCGGCGGTGTGTGACGTCACACTAGTTTGCTTGTTTTCGGTTGGGGAGTTCTATCCACTAGTTCGGTTTTTGGTAGCAATTTTAACCAGAATAGGGGTTTGTTTTGAGGCGCTTACCTTTCTGGGTGCCTGTTCCGGTCGATGGCAGACATAGAATGCTTCCAACCACACGGGAGCTTCTATAGGCCTTTGCTCCCCTTGCCTCTCTGAGGGGGCCCGGTTCTGGCCGTGGTCCCCGGTAGGCCTAAGAACTCCATACACATGACTGATGCCAAAGTCTGACATTAGCATATCAGCCTGGGATAGCTCCGGGGAGCCTCCAGGACTCGCCCAGAAAATGGCGTTTCATTACATTCAACGCTGTTTTTTTGTAAACGTAATATAGTGTGGTACTATTTCACTCCTTGTTACTACAATACTGTACTATAAATTGTCCACAGATTGAACGTGAACGAAGAGAGCTGTATGATCACTTCGTCGCAGTGGTTGGGGAAGTGCAACAACGAAGTGAGCTTAGAAATATTGTGCTGGAAAAGAGATTAAACCAGGCAAGTCGTACATTAATCATTTCAATTATTATTAATATGTCTACTCTCAGGTAGGCTTTTAACCTTTGAAATGAAAATAAGAGACAATGCTTAATTTATCCTAAGTGCACAAACAATAACAATTCAAAACAATCTGTTTTTTCTTCCTATTTTATTAAAAACAATGCCTTAAACATTGTTAAAATGTCAATATTTAAAAAAAAAATCAAGACGGTGGTTGTATGCTTATTGGATGATGCAAATATCGACTGAGAACCCAGTGTACCACAGGGAAATTTCAAGTGTTACAAAGTACCTAAAACATCATAGGATGATATGCACACCATGGCTTGATCTTCTTAAGATGATATGAGCATTTCAAGAGTTAACAAGTAAATAAAGATACCTGGTTCTCCAGGCATCAGTGTCCAAGTGCTGCCTCCACCATCTCTAGATTTCTTGGTCCCAATAGGTCACATTTTACTGGAATTTCATATTCAACATACTGGAATACTGTATTTTCATGTTCTAGCGTTATCCACTCAAGATGAAAATCTGTTTTCTATCTGAATCAATCTATTATATAAATTGCATTTATTATGAGAATGAAGCTCTTTAGTGTACTAATCAATGGAAATAACAACACACTAGTTTGAAAACACAAGGAAATGTAGACTGAAGAAAGTCCTGGTTTGGGACCAAAATATTTGGTCTACAGTTCCTTATTAAAATAGTGGGTTATTATTTCCATTGTATTTATAATGCTTAGCATAGTAAATACTTCTTTTTTATTGTTATTATTACATTAAAATTTTTAGTGCACAAATGTATAAAATCTTAAGTTTCATTTAATTTTCTTTTAAGCAGGTGTCGGAGCATTTAGAGAAGAAGGAAGCTGTTCTCTCAGAGGTTCTATCAGCAGCAAATTTAGACCCAACCTCATTTAGTCATGTCAGCCATCAGTTGGAGGTAAATATTGGGTCTTTTATCAAAATTAAAAGCTTAAATAAAATTGTATTTATGAAAGTTTATATAAATTCAAATATTATAAGTTTAACAAGGTGTTAATTTGATCATCTACCAAATGGGGTGCATAATAAAGAAAGAAAATACCAAACAGGCAATAGTTTATTATCTTTCTACTTCTTAGTTGTGTACAGTAGTAACACTATGTAACACACTAATTACAGTATGGTACTGTATAATAATATGCAGTCTCCAAGGCACAGTGGTAAGACACTCGCCCTGCTTTTAGCAAACGATTTGGCCTGGGTTCGTATCCTTGCTGGGGAGGATTGACTAGGTGCCAATTCTTAACTATATGCCTCTGTTCACCCAGTAGTGAATGGGTACCTGGTTGTTAAACGATTTGGTGGATCGTATTCCAGGAAAAATTAAGATTAAGGACCTGCTTGAAATGCTATGGGTGTTTGTGGCTTTACAAGAATGTAAGGACTTGTATATATAAATAAAAAAAATAAAAAAGGTATCTTGCACCAATGGTGAAAGATACCACCAAAAAACTTTGGCTTTCAGAATTCACTGAACATTTTGAATGGTTTGATTATCTATTTTTGAGGACAGGAAGCCTTATTGAGGCTTCCCAAGGCCAGCAACCGACCTTCCTCAGGACGGAACTCACAGCTTTTGCCTGGTACAATACATATTTACTACTAGGTAAACAGAGGCATCAGGTGAAAGGAAATATGCCAAAACATCTCAATCTTGTTCAGGAATTAAACTTGGGACCTTTCTGCTATGAATTGACTGTGCTAACCTCTGCATTAAATATTGTTATGCAGCTTGTAGTACAATGCTTAATGTTCTTGGCTCGCAGCCAAGAGACTGGGTTCAGTCCCCAGGCAGAACAGAAATGGTTGAGCATTTTTCATTTCACCTAATACCGCTTTTCACCTAACAATAAAATAGGTACCCAAGAATTAGATAACTGTTGTGGGTTGCATCCAGGGTAAGGTCGGTTGGTGGCCTAGAGGGACTACGAAAGGCCTAAGTATGTAGCCTGAAACACTGTGCGTATTAGTGGCTTTAGGTACATATTGTATGTACTAGCTCTATCTATAAATCCAACATTATGTTTGTAACTCAACATTCTATGTATGTACTTTTACCTGAATAAACATTTTGATTTTGATTTTTTTAAGTAGATATATGTAAGTGTATGGGAGTGTAAGTACAGGCTTCATGTCCCTAACAATGGAAATTAAAAGTTGATGGAGCTTTGCAGGCTATGCAGTGAGCAGAATGCACTCACCAGTGCCCCACAGAACTGCTTATTAGCATTATCATCTGTACCTTTAATACTGCTGTTTCTAAATACAGTATCATAAAGAAATGCAGGCGATGAGTCACAATAACGTGGCTGAAGAATGTTGACCAGACCACACACTAGAAGGTGAATGGACAACGACGTTTCGGTCCATCCTAGACCATTCTCAAGTCGATTGTCGACTCGAATCAATCAACTTGAGAATGGTCCACGATGGACCGAAACGTCGTCGTCCTTTCACCTTCTAGTGTGTGGTCTGGTCATTATAAAGAAATGTACATCTTTTCTGGGAGGAGCCCCTATGACTCCACGGAGCTATCCAGGCTAATAGGGATAGTCCTAACTTTTGGGATCAGTGGATCCCAGCGGATGTGGGTGGAGTTCTAGGCCTACCGGGGACCACGGCCAGAACCTGGTCCCCTCAGAGAGGCATGAAGAGCAATGACTTATAGAAATGCACATGTGATTTTGGAGTATTCTGTATCTGCTATCGACCGGGACAGGCACCCAGAAAGTTAAGCGCCCCAAAACAAACCCCTATTCTGGTGAAACCAAAGAAAATAATGAAACAAGTGGACAGTACTCCCCCAAGGGAAAACGAGCAAACAAGTATGACATCACACAAGCCGCGCTGCATGTCTGTGCAGCTCCACCCCTCCCCGGGAGGGGAAAGGGGGAGCCCCAGACCACCGCCCCGGCGATCCTCACCTCCAGTTCCTCGGCTGATGGGATAAGGCTTAGTCATTGTGGCTCCAGCTCCAGATTCTCTTTGTGCTGTGCCTGGGTTCAGTACTTCTCTTCGGTGGTGTGCGAGCTGGGAGAAATATTCCAGGGTACTCGGGCTGCATGCGCTTAGAGGCTAACTTCCCTAAGGGCTTTGTAAGTACTGCCCTCGGGGCTTGGGGTTACCTTCCACAAGTCACCTAGCTTTGGTCTACACCTGTTGGTATTTCGATGCTTGGTGATTGACTAACCCAAGTGTTTGGGGGTTTCCTCCTTTGCCTTGAGGTAAGTGGTAGTTTGGTGGTACCCCCTGCTTTGCCCTCGTGAGTGGACACGTCCCGAGGATTCAGCTTTAGCAGTGTTGGTTGGTAGCTTAGGTGCCGGTTAGTAGTACCCTGCCTGGGATTACCATTAGTAGACCCAGTCTAAGGGCCCTGGAAAGCCCCGCGGGGTACTCGGGTCCAATGGATGTGACCCCTGAGTCTCATGCTTTTTGCGAATTTGAGGGTTGCTCTGTCTCCTTGTCTCAGGGTGATGCTCATTTTTTTTGCCTCCGCCATGTTGCCTGTTGGGTCGGTGACACATTTGACCGAGTCCTGCGAGCTTTGATGCTTGTATGTGACTCAGTTGACCCAATCTGATGATGATATAATTCAGGTGCAGGCAGCTCGTGCATTGCAGGATAGGTTTAGGTTGCTGCAGCGTGCTAGGTTGATTGCTTCCCCAGATGCCCCGAGGCTGCCCAGTTTTATTTATTGGGACCTGGACTTGTGGGTGTTGGTCGCTTCGGCCTTGGTTCCGTCCGCACCCCCCCCCCCCCTCGTTCTTCCCCTGCTGTGGTTCATTTAGTTCCCCCCCTCCTGCTTCCAGCTCCTAAACGTCTGAGGGGCTTCGGGGTTGGGGCAGGTTTCTGAGACTCGGGCAGTTTCAGGGGTTGCCCCTTCTGGGGTGGCTGAGGAGGCATTCGAGTCGGTTTCTCCTGCCGTAGCTCTAGGGTCTGACCAGTGGGCCCATCTTCTTCCTGCTATTCCAGCTGACCGGCTTTTTCCCAGGGTTGGGGAGGAGCTGACTTGGGGAGGCCTTGGGCCCCATTGGACCCCACCTGAGTTTTCCAATCCTCCGAGCAGGGCTTGCTGTTACAAGGAGTGGGGTTTTCCTTTCCCTCCTCTGGGTATGACTTGGATTTGGGTTTGGCTCCTCCCCGAGTTCGGTTCCGTGTCCCTGCGGGTCCTTCGGTTCCATCCTTCCGGAGGTTTTCGGCTTCCCTGCATCTCTCCGCCTAAGGTGCGGGCGGCCATTGTGGTTTACCTCCTGTGCATCCAGGATTATGCCTCTATAATGAGTCCGTCTTCCTTCAGGTTTGGTCTTCGTCTCCATACTGGGTTTGTTATGAGGTTCCAGAGTCGTCCTGGCTAGCGAACTGCCCTTTGTTTTCGCTGAATGCTTGTGACACCCTCTGTCGTACCCGCACTCTGAAGTGGCGTGAGGTGTTGACTGTAATCCATGTTTACCTTGGGAGGGCGACTTTGCGCACCTTAATGAATGCCTTTTCGCTCCGGCTCTTCTGCAGGATGTTGGTGTGGTTCAGCTTCACGTACAGGTTCCCTCCTTGTCGGCAGCACTTGTGGCTGAGGACTTGCGCGGACGAGGCTCGTTAGCTTCGGTCCTGCACTTCTTTTCCTCCCCTTGAGCTGTCTTCGGATTGGCTTACAGAGGATGTATAGGCACTTGGGGCCGTTCCTAGGTCTAGAGCCTTGGCCTCGGCTGCTTGTGCGTCGTCTGCCCTTATGAAGCTGATTGCGCAGATCCTGCAGGATGTGCTGTTGCGGTTTTTTGCTGCGCACCTCGTGGGTCAGCAGGTGGTGCTCGCTTCCTCCTTGGAATCCACTTGGACCCTGGCTCTTAGATTGTCTTCGCCCTTTTGTCCTTTGCTGCTTCTGTGGTCGAACAGTGTATGCAGGCGGTTTCTTCCAGCTGCAGCCCGATGTCTGACCTTTTGGTTCTCCGGGGGTCCACGATGGGTTCCTCCCAGAGGGTCGTGCCAGGGTCCGCGGTTCTGCCCATTGAGGAGGGCCACAGGTGCCATTTTCGAAGCCGGTGCAGCCTTCGTTCCCGGCTGCATCTGGTCGGCGCAGTATACACTCTGTGTGCAGGTCAGGTTCTCGTAAGGGAGCATCAGTCCTTTCGCAGTTCGCCTCATTGACGGGACGATGGAGGGGAGGCTTCCTCTGTTCGCTCATGCCTGGTCCCACGATTCGTGAACTTTTCAGGTCATTTCTCGCGGCCTGTAGTGGCATTGGGTGGCTCCTCCTTCAGGGGGTTCAGGGCTGGCAGGGCATGCCTCTTCTCCTGTGCTCTGTCGGGTCGTTTTGGAGTGGGTGCGCTTGGGCATAGCCGAAACGACAATGTCCTTCATGTGGGTTTCCCGCCCGTTTTCAGTTCCGAAATGGGACTGTGCAGACCTGCGGTTCATTCTGGACTTGTCCCATCTGAACCCCTGGGTTTTTTGCCCCTCCTTTTGGATGACCACTCTGTCCCAGGTCTGGCTTCTTCTGGAACCGGGCGCTTGGATGGTGTCTTTGGACCTCAAGGACGCATATTGGCACATCCCAGTTCATCTGAGGTTTAGGGACTGGCTCGGTTTTGTGGTGGGGCGTCAGAGTTATTGCTTTCGCTGTCTCCCGTTCGGGTTAAACCTGGCACCTCGCGTGTTCACACGTCTCACATGGTTCGTTGTGGCAAATCTGCATCTGTTAAGTGTTCGGATGTTGGCTTACCACGACGACTGGCTGGTTTGGGCTCCCAGTCGGTCCACCTGTCTGCTCGCCAAGGGTGTGGTGTTTTCCCAGCTAGGCGGGTTCGTGTTCCTGGTGAACTGGCGGAAGTCCCATCTGGTTCCCTTCCAGGTTCGAAACTGGCTGGGCCTTGGGTAGGACTCTCGGACCACTTCCTTGTCTCT